AAAAATTGTTTATTTTGCGAGATTGGTAAGACCTGCGGTTTTAGTAAATAAAAAAATGGAAAAGAATGTTAAATAAAATTGTTCCTCAACATTAATAAAGAAAGGGCGAGCTCTTTGAATTTGAAATGAAATACAATTTTTCATTCACCGCTGCAGCATTTCATATTCCTCTTACTAAAAATAAATTCGTTTATGATGAAAGGGGGTGGCACGGGGGTATGAGATAAATTTTTACAACAACTTTTAATACACATGAATCATAAAAATTTTCATTATTTTAACGCCTTTACGGTCTGACCAGTAAATTTTTACTCCTCCCTTGGTTCGATTTATGGCCGCATATGAATAGTTAGATTGAAGTTAGGGAGAGTGGTATCTCCTCGCGGTTATAACCGCTCCTCTCGTCCCTAAATTCTCACTTATTATTTTTTTTATTTCCCGCATGTGTGTGCGTTTGGTACAAGGCGAACGAGCTCACTCATTCCTTTTGCACTTGAAAATGTAGTTGTGCATTCATGCGTGCACTTTACGTACGCTTGCAATTTCAAATTTCGCTTTTCTCCACTCGTCACACCGATTCCATCCTCATTCGCTAAACTACACACCCAATGTTTCAGTGGCTCTAGAAAATCCCCACTGAATTCACAGATTCATTACGTTTTTGAGTAATTGCAATTCCTTACCAAATATTTGGTTATCGATATTTGCATTTCTCAGTCGGGAATATTGACTTAGTCACACCGGAAAGATATTATATTGTGGTTAGATGAATAGTGTGCAGCTAGACCAAGCAAATACCTGGTTGAAGCAAATAAAGGGAACATGCAGAACGCGTTCGCAGAAATAACCAGATCCATATTGACTTCAGCCCCGGATAAAATTGTTACGTCGAAATTCACCAAGAGGAACACTCAGGAATTAAGGAGAAACATCGAGACTTGATTTTTCATTTGGTGAGAGTTCTAAGCCATTCAGGTATTAACCTGTCGATATAATTTACTATTTAGCTCGTAACATTATGAATTATGTACACGAAAGATGTATTAAATGTTTAGTAACAGTGATGGCCATTCTGAATGGTAATTTTATTCGATTTACGATCAATAGTTTCTCCACGTTCTTTCCGTATCTGTGTATCGCGATTGTTTGATGATCAAAAATATTTGGGGCAATCACTTGAAAATCCCAAGTGGCAAATGACGATTTACCCGGCAATTTCATATTCAAACTGACGCCAAATGTGCCGATCAGTTGTACAATACGAGAAATCAGATCCAACGTCATGTCTATTGATAATGAGTGGTCCCATCGGTGTTTAAACGAATTTTGCATACACATGATATTTACACAGGTACGTGACACAGCGTTATGCTGGAAAATTCCGTGTTGTTGGATCGCGAGGGTTTTTCGGGTGGAAGTGAGTGAGTGGTATGAGTAAAGGCCGAATGGTTGAGTTAGTTTGATGGTAGTACACACTGTGGGGCTCTGGCACTCTCCGGTTTGGGCATATGTAACAAGCCGTGCTACGAAACTTTATGGCCTGGTACCCGTATACAAACGACGAATTCTGTCAATAAATCATACACACCTACGACAGCTGTAAATAATACAGATAATTCAGTTTTACGGGATGGGATGGGTGTCGGTGATTGGGTATCATATTTGTTCATTTTTCCAACTGTTTCCTTATTGTCGTTGGGGCTGTCGGATTTTATGGTGTGAAATCACATTTGTAGGGTTAACAAGTCAAAATATTGCCAAATTTTTCTGTTATTTTTTTTTGGATATATAGTTACGGGGAATTGGGTGCAAATGGGGGTTTTGGGGATATTCATTTGGAAAGCCAGCATTTTTTTACACTCGCGCAATCTCTGATGCGGGAATATTAGATTTTTTTTAATTCAGGAATGCCGTGGATTTTATTTGAAGGTTCAATTGAACAAAATGCAATTGGAATTTTCCGATTTTCTCTGTGGAAACGTTTCGTCTGTTTATTCTTTTTCGGATTAAATCAAAGCCTGACTGAATATTTACAGGAATTCCACGTCGAATTTCCCGATGGGCTGTTCACTCTCCAAATCGCATGGTGGTGGTTTGCGATCGAATGAAAAATTAATCACCTTTAAATAATGTGAAGGCTGCAAAATTCTTTGGAGAATACAAAATATTTTCAAAAATAAAATTTTAACAACTCACTCACTCCCAAAATCGCATACATCGAAATAAAATTCAATCAGGGAATCTATCCCTGTAGTTGAACATGCCGTTATCAAAAGGGAATAACCGTTTTATTAACCCCAGGAATTTAATAATGAAAAAGACGAGGCGTTCAAATTGAAAGAAAAATAGGTATTTCAGCGATTTCACATCTCATGTAGTTCCCACGTCACGTACGACGAGCCTCAACTGAGGTGAACTTATTGGGAGAAGGGCTTTAGGGACAAACTTTTCAACTTAAATCGACACTAAATTAACGCCGGAATCGGCTCTAAAAGTAGGCGATTTGAAGTCACCGGGCTGCGCCCACCCTAAATTACTAGGATAACGAGACATTAGTTGCTACGAACACGTACCCTATCCGCGAGATACAGAAAGCGAGGGTTCTCGGTACTTTGTTATTTTTTTTCTTTTTGCACCCTCCCACGAAAACCCGAAGTGGGATGACTGAGTATGGCCTCACCCGTTCACAAGAGCCAGGAGAATCACACGGAGGGGATGTTAACTGAAAATGAGCGAATAGATCTCTCAAATATAATATTGGATAAAACTCTCTGGAGGCTACTCTTGTCATTATCCACAGTGGTGGAACGACAATACAACTCTGCCACTGCTAATTTAATTAATTTCTCGGTGCCATGGTCACTCACACTCGATGGAGGAAAAGGCCATGGCTCCTTTGAATTCATTCTGGCACTGTTTCAACCCTGAGTTATCGATATGAAATGGGGCCAGAGAGCCGCCAACTTGCAACGTTAGAGTTGGATAAACTTGGCACGCGAACGATCGCCAGGTAATTAGGGCTTCTCCTGGGCTAATTGCCAAGTCTCTGCATGTTGTTTCAGGCGGTGAATTAAAATAATTGTAAATTCCAGTATTTTAATGCTTTGTTTCCAGTTATTTTTTTTAATATGTTGGAATATTTGCGACAGGGCGGGCTGAGTGGGAAATTATTGCGTATGAATTTTTATCAGCGGAAAAAGGACTCATTCTGCCCGAAAAAATGAGATCGTAAGTTTTCCATATTTTTTATATTGATAACGAAAATAGAACTCACACCTTCGGACTCCGTCTCAAACAATTCAAAAATATTCAGTTCAAGTGCCGATTTTCGTTGCGTGAGATTTAATGAACACTTGCACCTGTTTAATAATGAATTTAATGAAGAATTTACGGTCGCAGCGAGCGCATGGTGGAGGTAGTTCCATATAGTCAGACTCTCATTGGTTAAAAAATGGGTTTTCGCTGGACATTCGAACAATTCAGTGGTTGAATTTCAGAAGTTCGTGCGACCATACACTACCTCTGAATTTCCCGAGTTTGTAACGTCATTCAGTTTTAGCCGATCCAGTTAGTCTCGTCGGTTTACTCTAGCTTCAGTTCAACCAACGATACAGGCGACTTGACCGAAATTGTGGAATCGATCCATTGCCGATTATCAACACTACGGTTGACTTGTCACAGACAAAAAGCTCATGGTTCGAACGCTACCCGATTGAACGCGTTGATTTGCTAACCAACGGAGTCATTGGCCAGAAGTGATTTCGAGGGCGCGTAACAGTGAAAGAGGAACACGATAACAGAATAAAATACTCGTGTCCCCCATAAGTTTCATCATGCATGGTCACGAGCTGGGAACAATGGTGCTATCACTTCTAGTTTCACTGAACTAGACAAGAAGTACTCGTCAGTGATAAAACCGAATGTTTATGGGGATGGACTTTATGAATTGAGCGTTATCATTCCGTTTCCACATAAATTTTCATAATTTTGGCGAAATTCAAATCGAATTCCGGGGAATTTCGGTCCAATTGCTATGACCGAATCTCTGATTAATCTGCCAGTTTAAAAAATACCCACCTGCAGCCGATGGGATGGCCGATACAATTGAATTTGAAATTGCATTAAATCTTCATGAAAAATGGGGAATAGTACCGGAGTGAAATTGTTTAATATTATGGAGTTGATATCGAGGTGGCAAAAAGTAAATTTTAAGATGAAATTCATAAACTCGCATTTCATATCAGTACGGGGCCGGGGGGTTACAGATACACCTGAGTATTAACCCATAATTATAGCGTTTGACAATGGATTTTACGAGATTTAAAACGAGCTTGGATACATCCGGAGTATTCTTTTTACGTAGAACGTTCGTTTGGAAGAGTTTTTTCTTTTTTTTTTCATTTTTTTGAAACGAGAGCTTCGCGCGGAATTTCAATCTATCCGACTAGTCAGATGAAAATACAGGGGCACAATCAGCCCAGTCACAGGAGCAACTTCTGCTGCTTTGTAGTTCGTTGGTAGTTTTTTTTTTTTTTTCGTTTTGTTTGACAATCTTTTGATAGGCAACTTTGGCCCTGGTCATTGTAACAAAACCCATTTCCCGCTCGTGTATTTCTCTCTATTTTTTGGATATTTGGGTAGAATTCGGAGGGAGCAAATGTTGGAAAAAAATGGTGAGTTACGTTTGCATAATTCTTTATTTAAAAAAAGGAATGGTTACAGACAATGAACATAAATTCAGACAGTTGCGTCGATACGAATCAACGATAAATTCGAGGTTTTCATTTGTTTTTTTATATTTGTTGAAGCTCGAGGTCATAATAGAAAAGTTTCAAACCAATAAATGAAAAGTGTTCAATAAACACGAGAATTGGTGGGCTATCGTAACGGAATGATACTAAATAATCGGATGCTATTGAAAGTTGCAGCATAAAACTCGAATTAATGCGTTTGAGGGATGAAACAAAAAGCCGAGTATTTCGTGCCATTTCGGCTCAGTATTTTTTTTTTCCCGCTTGATTTTTGTTCTTTGGGAGCTACGTTACGGCTCCATGATAAAAATCGAAATGTGAGTAATACGATACGGGATAGGGGGATTTAATATTGCGGTGATGGGAGTGGGGCAGGTAGTTTCGCGTGAATAATAGTGTTATTGCGCGGACCCGACTGTTGTGGTTGCCGATGATACTCCACTCGGTGGAACACCGGACGTCGGGGAATTCGGTGGTGCATAAGGACTTCCGCAGAGTTGATCCGCTATACGACCACCCTCCCTTAATCCACTCAAAAATGCTCCGTGCACTGTTGCTGGATAGTTGCGAATTGTGTGCTCTCCTATAATTTATAAATTAAAATTAATGGATTGTGGGAACGCTCCGTGAATGAATATCCACGGCATTGAGTCCAGGAAAGACGAGATATCACAGCTATAAGAATTTTTTTGTAGTCTAAGTAAGATAATATTCCTGAAAAGGCATGCAAAATTCCGCATAAAAAATAAAATAAAATAACATGTCCTCTGTAAGAAAAACATTGAATTGTCTGAAAAGAAAATGGAGTGAACGTTCTCAAAAGGGACGGATTAATAAAATTCTATGGAGTTAAAAAAATTTGTGTATGAACTCATAATCATAAAGAGTAATTGAAAATTCTGATGAAACCCGCGTTAACTCCTAATACATAGTCCCCAGCAGATGTGAAAATGTGTAGATAATTTTGTGGGAGGAAAATTTCATTTTACGAAGCGATAATCATAAATTTTCATCCCAAATGTACGTGAAATCTCGTTGTGTGTTATCTTGTTATTTTCAGTGGATATAGAAAGTAGTAGAAATATTAGAAAAATATTACAAACCAGCAAAGAAAACTCTGGGTGGTGGTGATGTGGCCCCTGCGGGTTGATTTGGGGGTGGAGGTGGTGCAACGGGTGCTGCGAGTAAATCGTAGTCACTTCCAGAGCTACCGACAGCAACAAAACTGTAGGAACCACGTGCCCAAGGGTCGGCACGCCATCTTGTTACAACACTCTCGCGTGGTTGTGGGACAACTTGGTTTCCAAATATTCCCTAGTGGAAAATGTGGAGAATCTTCAGTCATATCAAATTTTCCCCACATATTTTCGAGGTATCCTGGAGGGAACTGACGTTGTGGGGCACTAAAAGGATTTTGGATGCAGAGGAAGAGAAGAGAGATGCAGAGACAACCAAAGGGTATAAATAATTCAGTACAAAGTGAACAACATTTCCTCGAAGCGGAACCGGGCCTTTCCAACTCAACAACTAAAGAAACGAGATTGAATTTTTCCAACATTCACTCACCTTCAGCACAGCAATGCAGCGTCCAACAATAACATCATCACTGACGTTCTCCATAACACAGGCAGCCTCTCCTGCAACAAGAGCCAAGAGGACAGGGGCTTTGTACAAATTCCAGAAGAGGAACAATTCACCCCTCGAAGCAGTCGTGCTACCAACGTGACCAAATAAATTCGCCGTGGGATCCCAGAAAATCCTCTCAAAACAGAGCACCACCTGTAATTCCATGAATGGACCTCAATCTCAAATATTCCGTAAAACCGACACCAAAGAATTCAGCAGCAAAGAGGTGAAGTGTAATTCAACTTGCTTCCCAATACCATGACAGTCTATTAAAAATAACGAAAAATAATGGGATTCGCGTAAAATATCTGTAATATTTACAATCATCAAGTCAATGCTTTTGACAATTCTACAGCCAACGAATCGTTGTCACCAACTGTTACCTCCAGCAGTCGTCATATATGCATTCACCCAAACATGAATTTCACATTTCCGAATAAAAGCCATGTAGCACTCAAAACGTTTTACCTTGTTGAGGTTGCCAAAGCCAAGTCGCTGAATCGCCTGGGATTTCCAATCCGGCAGTGGTGGATTGAATGCCACTGCCGATGGTGCTGTTGACGCTTTCAGTACCCCCAGTGGTAGAGTTACCAATACTGCATCGGCCTTGTGCATAGTTGGATTTGTGTGAGAACTACGAGACGGTGCTGCCCAAACTTCAACACCACTTACACCATATCTCACAGCTCTCACAGCTGTATTTAGTCGTATGTCTAAGCCCTCCGAGAGGGCAACTGGAACGCAAGAGTAACCATTGCGCACTGTAACATTCAATTCAATCATACAATATTAATCGAGTGGTTCTTGTTAAACAAGAGAAAGGAAAATCTTGGCATTTACTAAACTCCAGCTTTTCCCAATCTCCAGAGAATTATTTGTTGGAGATTGGGTCAATCATCTTTCAGATCACTGCGGACATTTCGCTTTGTCAGCGTGACACTTACCAACGTAACAATTGATGGATTATTGATTACATAAGGAACCATATTGACTGATTATCTCTAAATGCCAATCCGACGTGTACAAAAATTGTACGGCATTGTAATCATTCAACACTTGCAGTAATTCCATGTAATGAAATTAATCAATGATCGTTTTACGGAACGGAAACTTGAAATCTGTCAATAAACCAGGCTTTCTCCAACGCGCTCGGAATCCGTGACAAAAAAGTGAATAAAAATACAACAGAGAGCGGTGATGAGGAGGATAATCATTGCCAATAAATCGTCCCTCCCATTGCTCGCCTCAATGACTCCCATTTGACTGGGAAAAAGTGATTATTGAAAAACTGTACGCATTTTTACTACATACCGCGTGCGTCGGTATGTTCTAATAACGACGCTTATGCATCTCTGTCTAGTCCAGTTAATTATGTTGATGGTAGTGCCGCGTGGTTACCAAGCGAATCCTGCGGCGTTAGCCCACTTCGTTAATTAAAATTTATGCCACCAATCTGTTAGCCCGGGCGAAAAGCATCGTAATTTAAATTAGTACTTTCGTTTATCGATCCCCCTATTATTCTGGGGGTTACCACAACATCGTCACCTCTATATCCAACCCAACTGCTATTCATATTTGCACAGTGAAAATTCTCACGATGTTCGCAGTAACTCGAAGGTGAATAAAAATCACTGAATAATAATATAAATAGACCCATATCTTTTCAATGTATAACAGCGGTATGTTAGATCGCGCCTGTTCCATGCATCTGCACTTTCTCCCGTGAATTGCAACATCGTGAGGCATTTGCACGCGATATACCACATGATTTTTATTCTCCCCTCAGCCTTCCCCTCAGCCTTCCCCCCCGCCTCCTCCTTCTCCTGCCCACCGACATCTCAGGTGGGTCTTAATGCACGCGAGCAATCTACGAGAGTGTTACCTGAGATGAAACATCACAAAATGTCCCAATCGGGTTTTTTCACTTTTTCATTGGATTTTTATATTCTCTCTTTTTTTTTGCTGGAAAGGGGCCGCGGCCGATTGCTTCTTCTGCGTTGTCAGGAGGTGACACCCGCCCGTTGAGTTTTTCACACCCCTAAACCAAGCGTGATGGAGGGAGAACACACAGAGAGGACCGCCCTCGTGTTCACCAACCGTGACATCCCCATCATTTTCGTTTACACATGTACCAGTAGTCACTTTACCTTCTCCAACCATACTTGGTCAATTAAAACAAACGCTAACAATGTGTTTCGCATTTACGCCCTCTCACCACTCGATTTTTCCCAACTTGTTTTACCCTTTAATTGATTTTGTCCCGGGATATTCCATTTTTCACTGCTGGTGGAATGTGTTTTATGTATTTCTCCGTAAACGGATTTTTATTTAACAAAATTAATGTCAAAAAGGCTCGATTGTATTCAACCGAGGGTAAAAGGGCTGGTCGAAGGGGTAAAATAAAATGGTTTTAATTAGAAAACCCTGTGTGCGTTATATCGCGTCAGCAGTACCAATTACCATCGGCAATTAGCAGAATAACGAGAATGGCGCCGGATGAAAAACACTGGACAAGTGAGAATTTCGAATAACAAATATATTTATTCGGTCTATGGGTTTTTGTTATTTCGTAGAGGAATTTATTTTTCGAATTTTCAAGGCAGTGGATGTTATGGCTTTGATTAGCCTTGAAGTGGCCCTGGAGTCATGGTGATCTGGCTGTCTAATGTATGCAATAAAATGAGAAAATAAAAATGTTTTAACCTCGTTGGACATGCGGGGACACGAAGACTGAAATTCATCCTGGTTATCTACCCCGGATTCTTCTTGAATTGCTACAGTATAAAAATATTATTCGTTTTGTTCTCCCTGGGTTTTCTCTTCACCCTTCCACCCTTCTTAACCGTTATATCAGTCTATCCACCCTTCCGGCCGTGTCTTCTGTTTGATCTTAGCCCTCACCCGGTATATTTTGAACCGACGAGTCGAACAATTTGTATGCCACAGTGGGTTTCAATTTACATTTAAATTGGTTGCTTATGGCGTTTCTGTCGCTCGACGGGAGTCGAAGCCCAGTGTGCAACGCAACCATAGCGTTATGTAGAAAAGGGAACAGTCAAATACCGAAACATACCGCCAAGTGCGAGTATAGCCTCCATCATCGGAATTGGAAAGGAAGAAAATGGCGATGGGCAATGGGGATGCGAGAAAAAAAACCAAGTGGCATGCCACTATCTCGTTATCAGGCTGACGGAAGTGCACGGTTGGAAATTTTTTGAAATTCAATCATTCATTCAAGAACATCACAATTATTTTCATGGAAATGACATTCACGGGAATACAATGGAGTTAGGAGTTATTTTTCCGCGGAATTTTTTTTTAGGGTATCGATTTTTATATACGTCGGAAAATTTGGATCTCAACGTTAACCCTGAAGAGTCGCCAGAAATCAAGGAATGGAAAAGTTCAATGAAGTATTTACTGGACCACATTTTTGTTCTATTCCCGGGCCTCACCAGACCCCCCAGTTGAATTGGTTAAATATCAACGATTCCACGTTCCAGGGTGAGTGATTCCTTAGGAAAATCTTAGCACTACCACAGGCACAGGATGGCAAAGGGACAGCGAGGAATAAATCTCAGTGCCAGTACGGGAAACACTTATATGAGAAAAATTTTTGATAAGAGTCTTAGAAATCTCTGAAAAATATCGGCTCCGCCGAATTTTCAACACCTTGTGTTCATCAAAAATTGTGAAAGCTGTGAAACTTCCGTCTTTTTCTCAGTAAAATCAGAGCTTTAGTTAAAATTTTTAGGGATGAAAAATACTTAACGTCGCCTAGACTTTTCTTCTTATAAAGTGAATTGAAGATCTGTTTGGGTAGAACTCAGCTGATTTATTTATCAGTATACCTGTGTTCGTCAGAATTCTAAATAATTTCTGTTGATACGAAAGTTTCGTGTCGCGTAGTATTTTGGTATGTGAGTGTTGTCGGAGGGAGGCAATGTATTGCAACACATTTCTGAAACTGCGTCACAGACGTTTGTGAGAATTAATTTCCACAAATGTCGCATTTACATATTTAAAGTTATCTGAGTCGTGGGGTAGAGTTGATACGTTGTTGGAGCAACATTGCAAGTAAACCGAGTGTAATACATGAGGAATTGCGGTGAGAGGGCTCGGGAAGGGATGGTAAATTTCGTGGAACTACCCTATTGTAATACAATACCATATACCAGAAGCCTAATTAGCATGCATCACTCCTCGATATAATTACCAGAGCCAACAAGCCGAACCCGAACCGACCTCGGAGCTCCTTCATTGTCAAACCACTGACGACATTAAAGCGCCATCATCAATGCGAATGCCCCAGTGTCTTCAATAAATACGAGTAAACCCATCTCTTATTCCAAAAAAATATTCAGGTGGGGCATAAAAAATTCTGTTAAAAAAAAAAGTGACTTTAGTCCCGCGGGGACTGCAGCGAAAAATTCTTTTTGCATTTTTATATTTTTTGTGTATGGAAATGACTAAATCTCATGCAGAAAAGGAATATCCGCAAATTAAAACTTTGAATTCTGATACAATAATTGTAAACCTAGAATATATAAGGTAAAATGCAGAGTTGAATTTGAATTTATTCCCCACGATCGCCGGAACAATCAAACTAAAATAAAATCTGCATATATTCTCTGCTGAACCGGTGATATTTTATCAACGAAAAAAAAAAGCCCGTAAAACTCCATAAATACCCCTCCCCCTCACCCATAAAATGGCCGTGGAGTTGGTTTTCCCCTGAAACGGATAAATCCAAATGCGGAAAAAGTGAAGATCTAACGACCCTGGCTGGCTTAAGTAACCGCAACCCTGCAAATGGTACTTAGGCCCTGTTACCCGGTATACGTACAACGGCAGTTATATATTTAGCCGACTCCCTTCATGCCCAGGAACTCGGTAGAACGAAAAACCACGTACGAATAGAGTATTAGATATCCACCAGAGTTAAACGATCCGAGGCAGATTAAAAATAAGATAAGCAAAAGTCAAGTCATGTCCTTGAGACAAAACTCGATACATAAGACATTCCAACTCGACGCCCAGTGGGATGGTAATTGTCAGCAATTGGTAGCGTTGGTTTCACGCGAGTGAATTAGATGGCTCGACGAGAGGATGAGGGTGAGGGAGTTGAACGATCGAATGGAGGCTAATAAAAAAAGCTCATTGAATTAAAAAAGAAAGCCACTTGGAATATTCAAATACACTGTTTTCATTCTCAAGGTAAATGGTTTAGTCGCACGGTCAGGTTTTAAAGTAGTGGCGATGCAAAATACACAAGAAATGCATTTGCGCCCGGCCTTCCAATGGCGGAATATACCATCAGGGTAAAAGAGGAGGTTTATACGGTTAAAGGTCTGTGGGATTTGGCGAGAGAGAAAGAGAGAAGGAGAGAAAGTAGTGGCCAACGGCGTTATAGTGGTTTAGGTAGGAACTGTAGCTCCTCAGCTATACAGTGAAAAGAGTAAGGCAAGAGTAGGGCTCGTTTGGCCTCTCCGAGAGGATACATAATCCTCACGGAAAAGGAATAAAAAAAAGTGCAGGAACCACGAAGAAAGTAGAGGGAGGAATCTCACTATCGACCCACCCTATCTCCCCACCACTTGTGTGTTTCACGTAATATATAGGCCGTATCTCAGGCTCGCAAATTGCCTTTTTAAACACAACAAGACAGCCGTAGTCCCTCTTTCAATTTACGCCGCGGTCTTTTTCACGTGTGCGCACTGTCCATTTCACATCCCAAAATCCCAATGACTCCACTTTTCTGACGGGGAAGGAATTCATAAAGGAATCATTTTTTTTTTCAATCACTTTTTACTCTCCATTGTTCACAATTTTCAGCTCTTATAAGTGACGGTTTATTATTGGATTTCATTAGCGTGGGAACTCGAAAATTGTGAATTCGAAGAGAATCTAAGAAATTAATTCCAGGAATTTGTAGCTTTATCGTTGCTAAAAAATTCTAATTTCTTCAGTTGACATTTCAAGTGTAATGTTCTAACAGTGTAGTTGACTGGTACGTCCAGTGGAACAGGGAAAGACAGGATCGGAGAACAAAAAAATAACAATGAAGAGGAAAGACGTGGGGGAGGTCGAGAAGATGAATACGGCAAACACGCGATCGTATATTACCACTGTAATTAGAAAAGGAATTATTGTCCTTTACGACATTGAAGGGGCTACCGTGGATACCTGGCGATCCAATGTGTTCAGCCATGGGCAGTGAAACGAATGATCCGATGTGGGGGTTGCTTGATGTTTTCTAAAGAAACTAGCGAGCCAGTGTTTACCGTTTATGCTTGAACAAAGCCCATGTATGTATATAATACGCTTTCTGTGTATGTTTTATTTTTATTTTACTTTTTCATCGTGACGATTGCTTTTATTTTATTGTTAAGTTCGGTGGAGACGGGGGGTTTCTTTCACTTTCGTATTTCACGTACGCCCATTATTTTAAAAGCGTTGATTCTAGACTCGACCCACGCACGAGTTGTGCCCTCTCGAGTTTGCAAGTTCTTTTTTCACCTTTCAAACGATTTTTTTTCTCCCCACCCTTTTTTTATGTTTCTCTGAGTCTCTGTACGTCTTTGGGTGGCTTCATACTCAGCATGCGCAATGTGTGTACGACCCACGTCAGCGCATAAACCTCAGAAATCACTGTGTCCAAACAAAAACGATTTACATGCACGGAGATAAATTTCAGTGAAAAATTATCCCTAAATTCGTGGCTAGAAGACATGGAGATTGAATGGACTTTTGTCTGACTCATCAGTTTTATCAGTTCTTTCTCGGGCTGCAGGACAATTTTACAACTATTACTTTGGTTTTGTTGATAGTGTTCTAAGAAAAAAATCATCGACTTCTGACGGATGCTATTCCATTAATCGTGATATCTATTAAAAATCGCGATAGATATATATGACTCGAATCGATACTCGACTCTTGAATTGTGCGACGAGGAAATTTTTTTTTGTGAAGTTCTAGAGGATTTTTATGTAGATCAATATGTATGGAATATTCAACGAGGCGATCACGATTAATTAGTTGACAATTGTGTAAACACAGATCATTTGTAGCAGCTGGAAAAACTGGGGCACTTGTTGGAATAGAATTAATCGATTGAAATATCATTGATTATGATCAAAAATTGAACCTTCCACCGAAACTGCGCAATGATTGATCCTTAATATTTGAATAATATGATTTTCTTCGTGTAATTGTAATTTAAGTCTCATTGTATGATGTTTTTTTAACGATCAAATATTAACCTTGGACAGAACAGATAAAGCAAATAAAAGCGCGAAATTTTCTTTTCGAGTATTTTAATGTTAAATTTATCTCAAGTTTCAAGTGACTCGACAAAGTGTTCGCTACGTACTTCAGTGGTTGATAACGTAAGAAAAAACTGCCATTTTCGAGTAACAGAATATATCATAAATTTACGCGCAAAAAAGAATGAACTAGAAATGATGTTGGCGAATAACTAGAAAGTGGATAACAAAACATCGAAAATTCAGCTTCAGTTGATTCGAGTTTTTTCAGTCGCAAATTTTCCAACTTTTTGTGCAGTTTTGCCTTTTTATACCACCGATATGTGCCCCACAGAAACTGGTCGATAATAATTTGTATTAGATTCACTTCCCCCCTCTCTCGATTAATAGATTTAATATTAGTTTATATAAAAGGATATGTAATGAGTAAATGATTTTCGCACCCTGTGAAATGGAATATAATTCATACCGGCGAGGTTGAAGTCCTTAAGAATCATCAGTCCCCCACCATTGACATGATCGAAGCGATGTGGCCCCCAGAAACTAGTTTTCTGTGAGTTTGACTATAAATAGCGATCGTCAGTTCCAGAAAACTTATAAATCCGTGGACAAACGAGTAACTCTACTGCCACCGCCATTGAAATATTACGTCGTTTCTTTTGAATCCTGCAATAACAATAAACAACGTGCAATGTTCAAAAACTTGAATCCATTCTTTGTACTGATAATCGTGTGTGTCATAATTGTTGAAGGAGATAAAGAATCTGCGATATTGTATGACGCATCTGATCCTATCGTGATCCTTGATTACACGAATTTTGAGACTGCTGTTAATAATCGAAGTACCGCTTGGTTTGTCGAGTACTATTTCCACTGGTGTGGACACTGCCAGCGATTCGCTCCTACATTCAAGTCATTTTCAAGCAACATCAATGGTAATTTTTTTTTTCCCTTTTGAATAGAATTTTTATGACCGTCCGAGTCACGTCTGAAATTTTTCAGATCATAATTTGTTGTTCAAAATTTTATTATTTCTGAAAATATAATTTTTGCTAATCCAGAAATTATCAATGGGATTTGTAGGAGATTCATGAGATCTCTGATTATAGAAAATAATAAGGAGACGATACCCGAAGGAGATATTATTATTGTATCAATAAATTTCTACCTGCGAGAGGGCGATTGCAGAATTCAATGTTGTCTTTGTAGTTCATCATTTGATTTTATTATTGGATGATGACAGGAGGAAATTGACGGGTGTTGAAGATGTTCAATAATGTTGCAGATTGGAGTGACATTGTTCAGGTGGGGGTTATAAACTGCGCCGATGAAAAAAACTCGGACCCTTGCAATGGTGTCCGGCCGGTTCCCGCGATTAAGTATTTCTCGTTGAGTGAGGAAACCGGAAAGAAGATTAATATGTCCAGCCACAGTACGGAGGTGGAAATCAGACAGCGGTTGATTGACGAACTGCACAAGGATCACCAAAGTGGACAGAGAAGCTATTGGCCGGATATTGCTCCTTACAGGTAATTTTTCATCAACATACATTCGGAACAGGTAATCCCGTTTATCTATCACCAACATCTTTCAGTGCTTTTAATTCGTCTATATGAAGTCGTTTTCCCAAATTTTTCTATATAATTTGTACGGAATAATTTTCGTAAGTGAATCATATGATTTTATTGAATTTGCGTGAAAGTCAGCTTTGCGGTAAAAATTGCCGGAGAATTAAAAAGGGGATTTCTTACAGTGTACGTAATTATGAATTTCTAGCGGTGATGCTTCTGAGGATTGGGAAGAGGTCCTTCCACCACCTGTAAATTACCAGTTATTCCTCTTTGAGGGGAACGACTCTTACCTAGGGACGGAAGTGATTCTCGACCTGCACAAAATGACGTCTCTTCAAATCCGGAGAGTAACGAATGACAACGAACCGCTTCAAAGAAAGTATGACGTCACCACGTTCCCCGCTCTCGTCGTCCTTGACAGAGCGGGCAGGGTAATCCCAGTGGAGCTCTTGGACTCCACTCGAGAGGGCATCACCAAAGTCATCAAAGACTTCATGAGATCCCAAGGACTTATCTCTGCACTTGGCCAACCTACAGATCCGAAAATCCAAGTGCAAAGTAATAATGAAGTTTCCCCAGCAGAAAGCAAACATTCTGAGTCAATTAAAAAATCCTTCCAAGACGGACTGTACCAGGCAGATTTAGAGAGAGCTCTGAAATACTCTTTAATTCAAGAAATTTCGTTGACTGATGAATTCACGAATGACAAGTTGCAAGCCCTAACGATCTATCTAGAAGTATTAGCAAATTATTTTCCGCTAAGAAAAGGGAACTCTGAATTTCTAATCAGACTGCACGAGATAGTCGCCAATGAGACTAGTTTAACAGGTGAAATTTTCAAAAATATTGTGACGAAACTCCAGCAGGAGTTGTCTCCAGTTTTCATGGAGCATCGAGAGTGGACTGGCTGCAAAGGCAGTGCCCCCCGTTTTCGGGGGTTCCCCTGTGGCCTCTGGACCCTCTTCCATACTTTAACTGTCAGTTATGCTAAAGACGTTGGGGATGAGGCTAATCCATCTGGTGTGGAAAGTCCATCCATTATTCTCGGAGCCATGTACGGATACATAAAAAACTTCTTCGGTTGTTCAGACTGTGCCTCACATTTCGTTGATATGGCAAACAGGAGGAATTATTCCGCTGTGATGATTCCTGATGATGCGATTCTGTGGCTCTGGGAGGCTCACAACGAGGTGAACCAGAGGCTCTCTTCTGATTACACTGAAGACCCAGTCTATCCGAAAATTCAGTACCCCAGTTGGAAACATTGCAACACTTGCAGACATGGTAATACATCTTGGAACTTGCAAGAGGTTCTTCATTATTTGAAAAATAAATATAGTAGGATTATCCTTTCGAATCAACCAGTTCTCCCAGAGAGCAATGAGTTCAAGTTTCAGGCACTCGATTGATGAGAATTCATAAAAATTACCAATCAATCAACAAAAATGGAAAGTGAGTCATTTTCCTTTGTTAAAAAATTCGAAGATTACCGATTGTTATTTAGTAGGAAAATAAAATAGTCTGATGAAACAGAAGATATAATCATTCATCCGAAAATAAATAAAATTAATGAACAATGAGAAAATATTTTATTATCTTTTCCCGCAATGCTCAAGGAGAAAATGTATATCGATGTAAATTATTATTGCAAACAATAAATGAATTTTCACCAGGCGTATTATTCACTGCCTCCTAGTTGGAGGCTGTTGGAGGGTGTTGAAAGTTATTATTCGACGTGATTCATGTAAAACCGATCATTGAAGAGATTTGAATCGATAGATTACACCGGAAATACTTGTTATCGGATTTAATATCCCAGGGCAGTTTACTGGTAAAGGTGGATATAACGGGTGTAAATGTGACGGAAGGAGGATGACGATAATAACCGTCAAAAAAAATGGTTGGATTTTGGAGGAAAACTGTGTAGTTTAGAAAGATGTTGGCGAAGGGAGAATGGAGGAAAGAACAAGTCAGGATGACTTGAGACCTATTCGTCGTGGGTTTTCACTGTTGGACGTGGCAAAGTGCTGACACGATCACCCTGTAGGTTTTCCAATGAGGGGGTTCCTGGGTTCAATGGTGGGTCGTTATGGCCGGCATTGGGAGGGGACAAGGCCTTTCCGTCAATGACTGCTGTTAACTCCACACGGCCAAGACTTTATACGGATACGAAAGTCCGATCGAGACTGTCGATGAATTGAATAGGGTTTCATTCAGGAAAAAATTTTTACTCCCTCCGAACAATGCCAGGATGGTTAATCCCCGACTATCGGTGGAAAATTGCTGGGTATAATTCGATAAAATCGGACAGCCAAGGCGCAACGATTTTCGCAAATTGAGAATACTGTCCCTCGAGTGAACATTATTTGTTTGAGAACTTTGAGAAATTGAGGGTTGCCACTCGTGTGATTATACAGACGGAAAATATTTCTCCGGGTAAAGAAAAAGTGAGTTTTTTAAAATGAAATATTTGTTTTTTGTGTAAAATTGTCGAATAACATAAGCAAATCCATTTTCAGTATGTTTTCTCGATAAACACCTCGATATCGATCATTTACTTTAAACCGAAAAATGATTTCCCCTCAGTTGCAACCGGCGATTCAATAAATCGTCCCCGGAAATAGAAAGATACACGAGAATCGAACCGTATTGAGCACTAAAGTTTCAATTCCTAAACGTATTTATCAGAATGGTCGAATAAAATCGTCCCAGGGATGTCTAGACGTGCCTCGGCTGTCTCTTCGGAGGTGATCGTTGTGTGATATAAAGAGAAATGCTCTCACAGCGGTGATGGTGGAGAGTGGAAGCACCAGTGGCCCCTTTCCACCCTACGACAGACTATTTTTTCATTCTATCCCGCCCCGAAGGCCAGCCCTCTATCTCTCTTTTAACTCGTCCTACCGGGGCTTTTTCATAGTCCCCAGTGCGCAACTGAAAGAACCAGTGACGAGGAAATTCAATTTGTTAAGAGACACTACTGCATCGGAGACAAAGTTTGCCAGGCGAACGAAGATGCGAGCGGCATGTCGAAGGCACCGTGAAATGTTATCATCCTCCCGGGCACTTTTCGTTCCTCCACGTCTTTCTCATTCACTCACGTCCAGTTCAGCATCCGCCTCACGAACCCGACCCCATTCCTCAACTTTCCCTTAGCACTATGAGGCAGCAACCTAGACGGTAGCATCGAGATATACACAAGACTAGTGAGATGCAACCGGGTGAGGGCGTGGTAATGCACCTCGGCTGCGGTCTTTCGGGGGCTAACTTATATCGCCATCCTAAAACTCCATTTTACGGTCAATTATACGACGCCCCGTGGCCAGCCCGATACTTCCTGGTGGCAACATCCTCTAAAAGTCCATTCTCCCAGTCGAGATCATTTACAGGCGTGTCGGGTGCACGCGCGCAATTACCCCTTCGGCTATTCTGTGGTATCACTACGGCTCGTCAATTTCGCCCCTTTTCCACGCAATCACTGAAATATCTAATAAAAATTACGCAACTCACTATTTCCTTAATTTCCTTAACGTGCTAAATTGCACTCGACATTTTTTCTATTGAAAAAAATTGAAAAAAATGAAAACGCAGGTGATACTGCCAACAAATTTTTAATTCATTGAAAATTCCATTGTAATTGATATTTCCATTGAAAAATTGATTTCCTGGAATTTTCAAGATGGAGGAGAGATTTTCAGGTTCTTTTGGTCCTGATGAGAAGAATTTGTATTTTATTTTTATTTCCTTGAGTCGAGTATGTTTTTTCAAATTTTTTTAACATCAAAAGATGTAATTTTTTTTTTTTTTGAAAATGCAGAGATGACAGCGCTGCTGGGGTGTCATGGAATGCCGTTATTAATGCGACTTGAGTGTATCTGTTTACGTATAGAAAAAAGCGTGCATTTTTTACGACACGCCCACGTTTTTATGGGTGTACTAAAAAATATGATCCTCGACTAGGAACTTGCGTTACTCTCCTCCAGCTGTGGCTGGAACACATCAGAGGACCTTTTGCAGGTAGAAAATGAGGTAAACCATAAAGCAAATATGTCAGCTGGTTTGGCAGCAAAACTCCTATCAACTTATTTACGAATGACGAATTTTACAACAAATCCCATTGTTACAAATAAAATATGTATCATCTCCCTGAGTTGAGAGAGACAGAGAAATTTATTTCAAAAATTTATCTCAATTGAACCCGAAGTAAGAGATAATGAAAAGGGAAAAATTTTAATGCGGACTATGTAGATATTCTTTAATAGTAATTATTTTTGGTAAATGAAAATCGAACGAGTGGGTGTCGATTTAGTGAATGGATCAAGTATTTGTACGGAGATAGACTGATGGTAGACCCCCTGCAAATGAAATAAAGACCTCCCCACGCTATCCGAGAGAAGGATCGACTGGGCTTTGAGAATTGCGCTGTCATGGACAAAAACCCAACGAGTTTCACCCACCATACGCGTTAACAGGAAATTGCATACCTATACCCTCTCTCTTGGACGCAATTGTACTCCCTGCAGTTGTCATTCCATATCCCCATTTCCCTCACTAACGTATTTTCCAACTCGTTTCCCTCGTCTACATTCCCACAACCCAGTGGCACACCCTCTCACTCTCATCTCAATTCCCTGTGTCTGGATCTCCGCAATGATATTTCCCCTTTCTAACGCCCAGCCGTTCAATTATCCACGAACACGTCGTTCGCGCCTTTCCTCCAATTATAACAATCATTACACACAGAGCGTCAAATAATCCTTGAATAAACGTAATAGCTTGCATTCGATGGTGCACACAACTTGCGGTTATAATTCATGACACGTGACGCAAGAGTATCGCATGGAAGTGTTGATTGCGGACAATTTGCAGGGCATCAAAAAGTGAATGGAGAATTTATCTATATAAAATTTGACATGCGCTGACGCATCTAGGCCAGCGCAAAAAATAGTGCCACGAAGACGTTTTAGTTTATTACACGAGAAATTGATATGTGACTTCAGGGCCACACTGGTGGAAAAAAAAAAAACATAAAGTTTATGGATGATTCAATATACGGAGATAAATTCTTTGGAAAAGTTTTAGTGCTAGCGCGAAATGCGGCGCAAAGTGCCGGCTAGGGAACAATTTCACTGTCACTGCTGGGAATTTTAGTGCATAGTACGTCAATTTTCTCATATTAATATTAAAATTTCTCACAACACTCCAGACATTTTACACGGGATCTTGACGAATTTAGTCAACAATATTCCCTCTGATTTTTTTCATTTATTCGTATTAGAAACAAATAAAAGTAATAAATTATCCGATTCGAAAAACGCAATTACAGAATGAAAAACATTATTTTATTGAATATTCAAGATTAATCAAGAACTTCATCGACATTTATTGATTTAAAATGATTCACTTAAAATGTCAGAAAGTGTATAAATATTTCGCTATTTGAAATTTGAAGAATAGTATTTCCAATTGTTAATTTTTCGATTGCACCAGCATGCGAATGCCCGATGTTTCCGCACAGTATCCGATAAACAAGATTTCCTCCATAAAAACCCATTGAATTCGCTGTTTACGATGGGTAAATGATGGACAGTGTTAATAGCCAGGAAAATGGCGAGGCTCGTAAAAGTCCATAATTAAATAAACATACACGAGAAAAGTGGTAGGGGGTGTGCAGAGCTCATCGTCGACACGATCAGCAAACGTGGAAGGCCATTGCAATGAGCGAAATAAACCCTCATCTGTAACACTGTACTTGGGTGTTTGATTGGTAGACATTACAGTGAGCTGACTCCAGAGAGAACTGAGAAACCCGGACAATAAAGCCAAGGCACCGGTGGAGGGAATTGAGAATGAAAACTAGGGAGGTCCATAAAAACAAGAATGTTAGTTGCCTTTCTCGCTGGCGGCGGGTACAAAACATCCCACAGACATTTTTTACTTTTATTTATTTATGTTTTTTTTATTCCCTCCCATCTCCACTCTCCCATCCTCCCATCCCTCCCATCCCTCCCATCCCTTCTTTCCCTTTATTCACTCTCTCCTTACCTTCCACTTCCATGACGCACTGGACAGCTGTATATTACAGTTTCAGTCCTAGTTAATATTGATTTAAGACGCCCATAAGCAAATACGTTTTGGCATGGTCAAATAATGGAGAAAAATAATTCAAATCGCGATGGAGTTCGTCTCGGCCGGCAAAACGATTATTGTTTGGAACGAAGAGACGTGGGATAATCGATATTTGGCGGAGCTCGAGAACCAGGGGGATACGAACGAAACGAGATATATCTCGTCTTATTTCGTTTTTTGCCCAGTGGACATGCCTGAGTGCAATGATCTTTGTACACTACTTCCCCCCTCGATCATGACTCGATACATTGAACGGGTGTGAGGAATTTAGTGGTGTTGCTCAGTGATTGGTTCATTTACCCTCATCACCCCTCGATTCCTCCCCCCCCCACTCATTCGAAAAAATGTATCACCGATTAGTCAAACTTTTATGGGTAACAAGAAAATAATTTCTTGTGAAAAAAAAAATAAATCCATTGACAGTAACGACGGCGATATACGCTGGCTGTTTGCATTTTGTCGGACGTAAATATTCTGGGGGGGAAAGAGCTTGTATTCTATGG